TTTTTAAGCCTTTATAAACCCTTCCCACACTCCTACACACCTTTCCCACTCAGGTTTACCCTTCAAATGCAGCACAGCACTGAAAACTTTAGTCCATGCTCACCGGCTGTGTGGACCCAACCCTGGTCTATATAAATGGCGCTGAAACTGGGAATAGACTCCCAAATAATGTTTTCTTCAACCATTTAGGAGCCAGTGAGGCCTAGAGCTTAAAGGGCTGCGCCTATACTCATAGAATCTAGGATTATAGTTCATAACCAATGTTTTATTTCGTATAGGCTTCGCTCTTTAAGACTATCGCTAGTGGGTTAAAGGCGAAATAGGATGTGGTCTATGCCTCACTGGGTCCATTCAGAACCACAATGACACAGGTATCTGCTTAAACTTTGAAAAAATCCATACTGAGCCTTTGAATCACGTGTTATTACGCACCACTGAATCTGTGCGCCTGAGATGCGCCGAGCACCAGAAAGAGAAATAATCTCTGCGTCAGACTGAAGGTTGAAATGTCAAACCCTGCTGCTGTGAGAACAGGGTGAGAACACTGAAACATCTGCATCATCACTCTGACAAAACACTGAGAACGGAGTGAGTCAGGGAGAAGCTGAAGACATCAAACAGAAAAAAACGAATGAATGAGCATGGGGAAGCCCAGGAAGCTGCCGTGCAGATGTCCTGCACTGACACTCCTTCATACAGAGTCATGGAGGATGAGATTCCTTTGGTGGAGTGAGCTCTGAGTCCCTCTGGAGGCTGAGATCCAGAGGAAATATATGCCTGTGAAACGGCCTCACATAGCCAGTATGACAGGCACTGAGCAGACAGAGGAAGTCCTCGAGACTGAGCTCTGAAATGCACAAACAGACACAGAGATGTATGATGCAGCTGTGAGCGCAACGTAGCAGGAGACCACTCGCGCAGGGCAGAGGGGATGAGAGGTGGCTCCCTCCTCCACTTGTGCAAGCTGTATTAGCGTACAGTATGTACTGCAAAATCCTACAATATAGAGAAAACTCCAGAATACAGAATTAAATATAATATATATAAAAAGAAAAGCTGTGATACAGTGAAACCATAATAAGTGAACCATGATATAGGGAGAGATGACTGTAAAGCTTAATTTTTGTCCAAATAAAAAAGTATTTTGTTTTTTACATTATGACTGAGATTTTAAAGTCATATTTCAAATGTCATGAAACTGAAGCACGTTATTTAAAAAAAAAAAAGGTTAAACAATAAAGAGAAAATGTGCAGCTTTAAGTGCAGACAGTTTAGCATAAGCTGACCAGTGCACAAAGAAATCTAAAATATTAAAATGAATAAAGCTCAGATCAAGCTTGGAATTGTACGTAAAACTGTTGCCAACAGGTCTGTTCAGCCTGTAGATGCATGCTGTTTACACATCTCTATTTGACTTCCAAACAATCTTGGAACAGTTTAAAAAGACAGCAGAGGGAGTTGGAGAATTTTATCTGCATAAAAGATGTGCGATTAAATTAAATTTTCTCTTTCTATTACAGAAATGGTGCAAATACACACATACACGCACAATGACATCTTGCGAAGTTATATATGCAAAGACCCAAGCACTCACAAGTCCAGTGCAGATTCAACAAGCTAAACTCATGCTGTTGAGAAATCAAGTAAAAGTGTACGCAGGCAAACAGAATCAAATTAAAATTCAGTGATGCTGCTGTAATTTAAACAGATATTAGCACCTTAGGCGGCAGAACTCTCACTGGTAAAAATCAACAACTAAAAAGGAAAAAAATGCTAATTCTTGGGGGAGAAGGCTATTTCTCTCATCCCGTGGAGAAGCACAGTAGTTCATTTCCATAAATATAAATATAAACAATGCACACATTGGATGAACGGTGCCCCACTGTAAGAGACAAACGTGTGCCCAAGTGCCTAAATGCAACACAAAATCTTCATTGTGATGTATATATATATTCATATTTTTCTTCTTCTTTCAGCTGCTCCCCTCTTCAGGCGTCGTTACAGTGCACTAACTCACACAAAGACTTGGCAATTGTTTTTATGCCAGATGAACTTCTGACGCAACCACAGGCCACCAAGCTACCACAGCCCTCTGTGTGGAGCAGAGAGATGCCATCTGGAGCACCCAGGGGAGCAGATGGGGGGGATAAGAGTAGGGCTGAACAGTTAATTGCATTTGCGATAATATCGCAATATAATAAAACAAGATTTTCTAATCGCAAAGGCTGCAATTTGACTGGTCATGTGATCTGGTTACGTGACTTGTAAGTGAGCAGAGTGGTGCGAAGCAGAGCAGAGAGCAGGAGAAGTCAACACTGCCCTTTAACCGGTTGCACAGTGGTGTCAGGCTTGACAGAAGCTGACACATCTGAAAGTTTGGTACCAAAAAGGAGCAGCACATCTGTTGTTTGGAATTATTTTGGCTATAAAAAAAGAAGACGCTGCGCAATGACATGTATTGTGCAGAACCTGCCTTGATGCTGTTGATACCTCTCGAGGTAACACTACAAATCTTTATCAACACTTAAAAATCATTACAAAGTCATTTACGATAAACTTCAATTAAGCAAAGTACCAGCCGACAGTGATCATTGTCCGAACTGTTGGAAGGTATTACTCCGTATGAACATAATTTGAAATGGCACACGGAAATAACTCAAGCAGTAACTGTTCATAGTGAAAGACATGATGCCCATTAATATAGTGACCAAGCCAGGGTTTAAGGCTTTGGTAAGCACAATGGATAAGCGGTACAGAATGCCCTCGCGCAGACATTTTAGCCAAGTTGCTATCCTGGAGCTATACAAAACATGCAGAAACAGAGTTGCAGCGGAACTGAAAACAGTGGAGTTTTTTTATTTATTACTTCTGTTCGTTGAAAAAT